AATAATAATAAAAAACAGGTACAGTCAACCCATTTTTTTCCTTTTCCTAGGCCCAGGGCAACAACATTAGAATGTAAACAGATTTCCTTGACACTGTACAACAATAAAAGAACCTGGTACAGAAAGAGATTTGGAAAGGTCAGGATTTGGTAATGGTTCCAAAGGAGGGAAAATGATGAGTGGCCATAATTGTGGAAAAACTCAGGCTGTCTAGAAATGACTTCCGCTAAGGTATCATTAGAGCCTGTTTACAAATTTGAAAAACTTCAAGTATGTCCTCTGCTTTGCAGAATGGAAAAGAGCTGCAGTCACCCATCCTGCCCACCTCTGACCCTGCACTTGGTACAGCTGTCGCAGATCATCTTGACTTGCTACAGCTTGTTTTCCCCAGTGTACATGGTATGAATCAGAGATGTAGTTGCTTGTCATGATGCAGGGAAGAGTACTGAATGTTTATATCTTGTCCTTGGTGATCTCAGTATTGTAGAAGGAGACAATTTTTGCCTTTAGCCCAATAATCTGCTTCGTTGTGACCTGAACACTCTGTGTAGTAGAAATTAAGGAATGGGGAACCTAAAAATTGTTCCTCCTCCTAGCTTTATGGTCCACCTTGCCCGGTATAAAACTCTCAACTTGCCTCTAGTTTATTATTTGCCCTTAAACAGGCAATCTTTTCCTTGGAAAAGATCCTGATGTTAGGAAAGTATGAAGGCAAGAGGAGAAGGGGATGACAGAGGATGAGATGGTTGTACAATGTCATACAAGCGACCAACATGAATTTGACCCAACTCCGGGAGGCAGTGGAAGACAGGAGGGCCTGGTGTACTCTGGTCCATGGGGTCACGAAGAGTCGGACACGACTAAACAACAACAACAAAACAGAATTGGAACCTTGAATCTGGCTTTCTGTATTTGACAGTCTATGCACTTATATAGGTTCTGCTTAGTTTAACTAGGCTTAATGCCAGTTGTGTATCAAAACTGCAGTCTTAGCAAATAAGTAAAAACACTAAGGGAATGATTGGGTCAAAGAGAAAACGTAGTATTTCTTATTAAAAAGTGTTGTTTTTAAGGTAAAATGCATTACATTCTTTATGAGCGTTATCTTCCTTTTGTAAAAATCACCATGTTATTTAACAGCAGCTAACTTCTATGTTCTGACTGGATAGCTCAGTGAGTTAACACGTTGGGAGTTCAGTTCCCCACTGTGCTTCCCAGACGTGCCAGCCTGTGTGGCCTTAAGCATGTTGCACAGTCCCAAGGTGGCCCCAGAAAAAAGGCAATAGTAAAGCACTTCTGAGTACTCTCTAACTAGAAAACCCTGAAAAGGGCAGCCATAAGCCAGAATTGACTTTGACAGCACACAGTTATTATTATTATAAGTTGTATGTGCTCACATCTTGCTTGCTGCTTGATGGGTATCAAGAACACACTTCTTTTAAAAAAAAAACCTGAAAAAATGTAAGTAGATGCTGGTGTTGGCAAGAGTTAACAGTACGCAGAAGACAAGATCACCTGCAGGATCTGTTCCTCACCAGTCTGACCAAAAACACCTTTAAAAGAGCTTTCTTCTATTGCTACCTCAACATACCTGCAGTATTCAGAAACAGTTGGAGGGGGGGTCCACGTGACTGTGATGGGATGGATTGAATTCCCCCTCTTTATTTTCCCAGTGTATCTGCCAGGACCCCTCCCTCCCTGTAGCTGCTGCTTACATTTGTTTAGTTTATGTCACATTGAATTTGACTACAGATAGCGGTATAAAAAAAATCAGGAAACAATAGAGCTGGGCTTAACTTTGTCCCACTAGAGAATAAAGAATGTTTAGCTGCTTGTTTTTGAGGATGTAGGAACACATTCCAGGAACACAAAGGAATGACTTTTTTCACATATGAGTCCTTCAAATCCCCCCCTTAACAACACATATGGCCAGTAATTGTGCTGACCAGGGGCTTCTAGGAGTCAAAACTTGATCACACCAGAGGGCCTATTTAGTCCAGGATGCTGGTTCACACAACAGCCAAACATATGCCCTTAAGAAGCCCACAGAAAGGATATGCAGCACAGCTTCTCAAGTAGAGTACCAAAAAAACTAGATTTGGGAAAAGTTACTGCAAGGAGTAATACATCTCCAAGAATACCCCAACCAGAATGGCTGAGGTATTCTGGGTACTGTAGTCTAAAAAACTAAGGGCCATGTATTCTTATCATGGTGTATATATTAATACACTGGATTCATCTCTAGTTGGGTATCGCTGTAAACAAAAAATTATTTTTCTTGACATGACCGGCCTCACCACACTTCCTAAAAACCTTCTGATTGTTTTATATAAATAGGATGTTTATGTAATGAGAACTTCAGCTGATCAGTTACTGGTATTAACGATGCCATTTTCATTTTGAAGCCCTTGTCGTATTATCAAGTTGTCACCATTTTTTGCCCACCTCACTTGGGTGTTACCTGGCTGCCATGTACTCTGTGTATATAAACTATGCCTTAATTGTTATCCTCCATGTTCACGAAGAAGTGCCTTTTAATACATAAAAGCTTACAGTGAAATATATTTATTAGTCTTTAAAGTGCTGCAACTGTCATTTTTATTTGTGTAATATATCCTTTGTAATATTAATTTGTACTTAGTTTATGCTGGGCCATGGATCATCCATCAAATGGGTTTTTGTTTTTATATGCGTTTTTAAAAATTGTTCTGCATTTTTGGAAGCTGCCCAGATTAGTGGCTTGTCCACTAAATGGGCAGGGTACTTGTTTAAACAAATAAAATAAAATAAATGGACTAACTTGACTAGCACTTTGAGAAAACCTTTTAGCAGTGGCTCCTGAACCGGGGGGAGGGGGGGCTGAATGGATTCCTGCTAGTAGTTCATACACAAAAAATATTCCATCAGACTGCTTTTGGAACTGTGTTTGTTTTCCTTCTCATCCATGGTGGGATAGACCTGGTTAAAATGATCTATCATGATTAAAGTATTCTTATAGTAATGTCTGAGAGATTTTAAAGACAAGAATTCAGTACACATCCATTCCATGGATCTGTTGATGCTAGAAAAAAATGCTTCCTAGAAAAGAACACTGGACACAAGTCTTGCACTTTTCAAAGCAACATTTCTGGGGCAATTCCTATTAACCCTGCTAAAATCATGTTTGGTCTTTCACAGAATATATTATTCCCTTTCAACATTCTAGTGTTTGTTTCCTCTTTTTCTTGTTAGATAATGATGGTGATATTGTTTGTTTGCACTGCCCTCTTGTGTTCATTATATTGAGTTGCATAACAGTTGTTCTAAAAACTACGTACAGTACTCATGTTCTCCTCCTATCTGGTTAGCTTCCAAACCTGATATTTCCCTGAATTTTATCTCCAGTTCATGTTCCATTGGATGTGCTATGACTGCTAAATGCTTTTACATTTATAGAATTTATTTCCTACCTTTTAACAAGATGTCTTACAAATGATACACAAATAACATGATCAAAGTAATAAAAATAGTAGTAAAAAACAACAGGGCTAGCATGTACGAAGTGCCAGTGTGGTCTGTTTGGGGAAGAAATTGCACAATTTGGAACACAGATTTTGGCGGCCCTATTAAGCAGCATTTGCCTCTCTTATTTGCCATAAGCTGCAAAGTGGCAGCAGTAGTCTATAGCTGCAAAACTGAACAGTTGTCGTAACTCTTCATTCAGAAGTTCTTTCTGTGTTTTGATTTGAAGATGTTGTGAGCACAAGATCCCAAAATTGAGACCATTTTTTTCTTCCAGGGGAAGTTAAATGGTCCAGACACCTTGGAATATTTTAGGGAGTCAATATGTGGTCAGGAATAATTAGGTTCATGTAACATTGAACCACCATGAACCACCCATTGTTGTCAATGTTGCTTTGATCAGTCTCTATAACCTACTCTAAGCAGCTTTTAACTAGAAAAGAAGCATCAAAGTATTTCAAATCAGTAAAACACCACTCAATTTAATCAGCTTCACTGTAGAGATACTATAGGTAGATGGGAAAGGAAGGCTGGGATAAATAAAATATATACTTCCCAGCATTTGAGCATGTCATAATGCTCAAGAACATGCCATGGTGAAAGTTGTGGATATATTCTAAAACGGAATGGATTTTGTAATTTCTTGAGAGCTCAACTGCATTCTCTAGATGTGGTTGCCTGTTTCCTGACACTTCTCCCTGTTGCATTCTTTCTGCAGAGGACCAAGTAGCTCAGCAAACTGAGGAAGTGTTCCAAAGCTATGTTTCCTACCGGTATCAACTAGAACGGGAGCAGCAAGAGGTGGATGTGCTGGATGACCCAGAAATAGCTGCAATCCAGCAACGGCCAGACAGGTAGAATGCCCCATCTGTCCGTCCATCCGTCCATCCATTTGAAACCCTGTGCCTGCTCCAAAAGCACATCATGGTGAGGTGCCTGTCTTCATCTACATGCATATCTAACCATTTTGTTTCTCTCTTGGGCAGCACCAACAGCCAGGTGGGCAGACGCCTGGCCATAATAGGTGATGACATCAATGCACGCTATGACAAGGATTTCTGTGATATGTTGAAGACACTGCAGCTAACAAAAGACAATGCCTATGAGTACTTCACCAGAATTGCTAGCAGGTAATTCAACCAGGGAATTTCCCAGGGGCCTCTGAAAAATGAAAGCAGGAGATTTGATATTCTTCTTGCAGGATGAATTTGTAAGTGTAGCTTTCTTGAATACCTAGCAATCATCCTCCAGAAGTTGCTGGATTGCAACACCCATCATTGGCAGTCATTGGCTGATGGATAGACACTCTTTTTTAATTTTGCCGATGTGTCCAGTGCTTCAATCATTTTGTTTCCAGAACAGAGCTTCTCTTGTAGAGATACACGTCACTGTTCAAATCCTTCCAAAATGTTGTATGAAACCTTTAAAGTTTTCAGAGGTCATTATGGTTTTTTTACAGTACATAGGAGTAGGTTTGAGTGGTTTCATGGCACAAGAGTACTCTATCAGCAGGTCTCATTTATTTGACTATGATCAGCCTGAGTGGAAATTCAACTGTTTCTTCATTCAGAACACACACATAGACACCCCTTCCTCCAGATATCTATGGAGAATAAGAATCGTCCTGCTGGGTCAAATCAGGTCCGGCTTACTGATATTCTCATTTGCTGCAATATTGCACTTAAATTGGTATTTTTACTTACTAATTACTATGAGTGGTTACTGGACATGGCTATATCCTTCCTTGAAAATGAAAGGCAGCTTAGCTTTTGAATACCAGTTGTTGGCGAACAGGAGGGTGCTCTTGCCTTCATCTCCTGCTTGTGGGCTTCCTGTTGGTCTCTGACTGAGCAGCCATTGCTGAAAAACAGGTGCTGGACCAGATTGTCCTCATGCTGGTCCAGCATAGTCCTTCTGTTTACCAAAACAGCCTATCACAGAGCAGTACAATACTCAGTTTCTGCCAGCTGTACAAAAATAGACATTACACTGAGCATATTAAAGAGATGCACTAAACATGCGCCCTGAGCTTGCCTTTCATATTAAATCCAAAAGAAGGATTTGGGTGAGGTGTACCCCTCCCTCAAATATAACTTTCTGTAGAAGACCCATAGCACACACAGACCTATCAAAGTGCCCCCAGACCCACTCCTTGTTTTGTTTAAATGTTGTTTAATTGTCTCTTCTGTCCTTTCTTCCTGCTCCCACCTCCTTGGGAAGCCAAGCGGTATTGTTCTCACCACTTTACCACCTTCAGGTGGTGAATGTACTGCTACCAGGTAAATTATCCTACAATGCTTTATGCTTTCCTTTTCCCTCCTTTTCAGTGTGGTAATATGTGTGAGCTCTTTCCATTCCATGCTGTACCTGCTAAACTTTGTGCAAGAACACTCCAAGGTTATGTAACGCATTGAGTTACATAATTTTAATCTCCTTTCTTAATGCTGGCTTTAAAAACTTAGTATAATTTAAACAAGGTGTGGGGGAATCAGCCACAGAGGCTCTCCAGGCAGCTAACCAGTAAGGTAGAAGGAATATGTATAATTCAGCAGAACTTTTAACATCACAGGCAAAAATAAACAGTCAGTGTAGTGTTATTTGTGAATTGTTAGTGAATTTGACTGCATAAACCCTTTTGGCCATGTTGCTGCATGAATGAGCTGGTTGAGTTCCATGGATAGTGCCATCACAAAAAAGCTCTTCTCTTATTTTGAAGAATGCATCCTCATTACCAGCAGCTTGAACTTGGAAGGGACTCGCCTCCCAGCAGCATGGTATATGCCCCTACTGCATAGACCATAGGTTGCCAGTGGTGTCCAAACAGAGTCTGTCCTGAAAATTTCAGATCTTGGGCAGGCCTAATGTAGGAGAAGTCCCTTTTATGTTTGTGTGGATGTCACAAGTCCACACCCCCACACCCAGCTTTCAGTGAAAAATTGAGGAAACATTCAGCCAGTTGTTGTTAGTGGCTTAAATAAGTCACTGTCATAGCTTTGCTTCTTGAATCTGTTGTTTTCTTCCTGGTGTGTTCCTGACACTTAGGCTAAAACCACAGGGTTACAGTCTTTGCTAGGGGTGCCTCAGGTGGAAAGGATACTGTGGGTTGCATTCCATCAGTTTTTACACCTGTTTTTGCACAGAATGGTGCTCCTACTTGAAGATGTATGAGAACATAATGGTGGTCTTGTGTATGTGCAACAGTTGGTGGTGGTTGTCCCCCCCCCCAATTCAAATGAAATTGCTGCATGAACCATAACCTTTTTTTGACATGAGGTTTTGGAGACAAACAAATGTGATCTAATACGTGAGCAGCAGAATGGGAATGTCGAATGTGCTGTACCAATTCAGGTTGCAGGTAGTGAGTGCATTGAAAAAGAATCTGTTTACAAACGGTATGTAGATAAACAGATACATGCACACTAGGGTGATGGGCTGTATCCCATTGTCTGCCTGCTGTGCTAACCTTTTTGACTTGTACACCATTTTTTAAAGGAGGAGTGCATTAAGAAGTTTCATGATCTTCTGTAGTCCAAGATGCAATCTATTCTATCACCATAGGATTCTCTTCCTCCTCCTTGTGCTTCTTCCAGACCATGCCTAGGTCACAGTTTTAGAGATGGAGTATCTGAGATGTCATTGTAACATCCTGTTTGGTGATTGGAAGAACTGGACTGCAACAATTAGAATCCCCTATCCATAATGACTGGCAATTCTGGACATGTGCAGGGTAGGGCCACTGCTCCCCCATCCAACAAGGCACATGTGTAGCCTTTTGAAGGTTCTGATCCAGAGGTGCATAGATTTGCAGATGACACTTGTGAGTGGAAGAACTTCAACAAGTTCTTAGTAGTTGTGGTATAGGTGGATCTGTGACTCTTCTCTCCTTTGGGGTCTGCTAAGAGTATCCCTTGTGGTTGCTTTAAGGGCCTTGGATCTGCTCATAGCCACATGCTCTTTGATATCTCAGAGTCAAGTTACTGCTGCCAGAAGATTGTGGCTGGGTAATATAAAGAGCTAGCCAGGAAGGTAGACCTTGTTTTTTCAAAACATCTCCTCTTCCACAGTTTGTTTGACAGCGGCATAAACTGGGGTCGGGTGATAGCGCTGATGAGCTTTGGCTACAGGATGGCAATCCATGTATATCAGCATGGTCTGTCTGGCTTCCTGACAAGGATTGCACACTACATGGCTGAGTTTATGCTTCGCAACCGCATTGCACGGTGGATTGCCCAGCAAGGAGGATGGGTAGGTAAACCTGACTGTCATCCCATACCAGTACTCTTTAAAAACACTTGTGTATGAAACATAAATAGTTATTCCTCTTAAGAAACACTGTGGGTGCAGGTTGCAGGTGTCTGTTGCTGTGTTTTCAATCTCTTTAAAAACACTTGTGTATGAAACATAGTTATTCCTCTTAAGAAACAGTAGAGTGCAGGAGAAACATGGGGAATACAGCAGTGGAACTTCTGAGTTAGAGCAGTGACATTGGGTTGTTTATCTGCTGGTTCTTTTCTTTCTTTCCTTTTTTTTAATTAGTATACAGAATTGTTTTACGCTGGTTTCAAGTTGTTCTGATACCTGCATGAGCATCAGGGCAATATGTCAACCCGGAAAGAGCTTTTCTTGCTTCACTTTCAAAGGCAAAAAGGTGTCTGTTGCTGTTGTTTTCCATGAGGGGGGGCAGGGGCACCCTGCAGAGGTAGAGTGGCCACTGGTGGTCCATGAGTGCACTTTGCCCACCTTTGCATTGGAGTTATGTTGTTGTGTAGGGTGTCCTGTAGCCTGTTATACGCCATTCAAAATGAGCCTTACGAACACTGTCAGTGGCAGGCTACCTGGTGCTTGAATGTTATTTGGATTTGTATGGGATCTGTTAAGTTCAGGGTGGCCACTGTGGGTGCAGGTTGCTGCATAATAACCTGTGAAATAGGCTAGACCCAAAATGTGTTTCCACTACAGCACTTCGATACTACTGTTGCAACTGGCATAATTGTTGTATATTTCATTTCCCCCTTCCTTAGGTGGCAGCACTGGACGTAAGCAACGTTTACTTGAAATACATGCTGGCAGTGGCAGCTGTGGTCTTGCTCGGCCAATTTGTGATACGACGTTTCTTCCACCAATGACAGGGAAAGGACATTCAGCTGGTACCATGACATGCCAACTGTCAACGCACTGCCCCACAGTGATGTTTTTGAAGAGGGGAGGATTTGAAAAACTACCAAAGGAAACCTGATGTGCTTTACCAGCTTCCATTGCTATATGCCACCAGTTTATTAACTGTGGAGAGTTCAGAGCAAGAAATCCATAGTATGATGTTAAAAGAAAGGCTGGAACTGAGCATAGGACAGGATTTATTACTTCAAGAGACCTTGAGGACTAGTAGTATTCACAGTGTTGTCAGAGAGAAAAGGGAAGTGGTTTCCTCCGTATGGTCTCTTAAGATGGACAAATCCTTCTCCAGAACATTCTCAGGGCCAGTTTATCTTTACCCTTTTGCAGTTTCAGCCCTGTGGAAAGCAGATGTACATACAGACCATGTGTGGCATTTTCCCCCTCTCCCTGTATATATATTGCGATCAGTTCTTCCCCACCCAGGAGTTTTGCTAGTGCTATGGTAGCCATGTGGTTGCTTTGTGGGCGGGGGGTGGGTGGGGGGAATCACATAGATTTGTCTATGAATTTATTTAAGGATCAGTTGTATAATCGGCATTGGCTGAGAAGGGGAAAACTTCTGGCCCATGGATCTAATTGGCCTGCAGAAGTTTAGATTACAATCTGGTGCATTCCCCATGTTACCCACTACTACCAAGTTATGGTGGGAGACATGCAAATCAGTACTGCTACCTTTGATCATTTGATCACTTCCCGCTCTCATCTAGTGCTTCCAGGAACCCATTGACTTCCATTAGGGACTCAGTTGGTTCTCAGAAGGCTCAGCCTCACTTCTTCTTCTGCCTTCCTCATGCTGGGTGAGAACAACAGCAAACACCTCTCATCCAGCAAGAGCTACTGGAAATGCTGGCCAAGCATACTTTGCCCGCACCCCTGTCCCAACAAAGAATAGGGGCAAGGAAAACAAACTTGGTTGCTCTCAAACAGGCTTGCAAGCACGGTCTGAGCCTCAGCTGGGACTGACATGGTGCTTGCAGGTCCTGCTGAGAGATCAGAATTTCCCACTACTTTCATGTACAGGAAAGATGCGAGGAAGCAAAGCAGGGTTTCTGGGTGGAAGGACTGCACCCAGTGTTTTGACTTCATCCAGTGGTCACATCTGGCATGCAGCTGTTGGAGATATATTTGGCTGGTCAACCAAAAGTAGTTCTCTGCCCTGCTTCTAGGATCTTTGTATTTAGGGCAGAGGTGGGCAGTGTTTGCGGGTCTCCAGTCCTGGACCTTGGATGCCAAGGGATGTGCCCCTCTGACCTCCCAGCACCCATCACTCCAGAATTACAAAGCATGACCTCTTGCTTCCAGGGCACAATCTGCGGTTTTGGAGGGACCTTTTTTCCCCAGGGCTTGGGTATGGCTGGAAGCCACCTGTGAACTACAAATTACACTTTGCACAACCCCGTATAGAGAATACATATATTTGGGGGTGGGGAGGAGATGCTTACAATATTTTGCTAGAAATGGACTTCCCTTTCATCAACTTAATTATTTCCTACACCAAATATAGAAGTCAGTGGATTCCCCCCATACACCTTATTTTCTGCTATTCTGCAGTGATCCTTCTTTTCCAGTAGAGAGAGCCAAACCTCGCTAAAGGGCCTGAATAGGAACTGGCCTCTCTTCTATTTAAATTCAAAGGAAACCATTTTCCTTTCTGCATATGGTGCTACTGGTTTCCCCTTAAAAAAGACATGTCGGGGAGGGGAAAGGAGCAGGTGAGAGAAGAATAAGTTCTTTATTAGAACTGATGCAAGAAAGATGAAACATTTTGTTTCAGTTTCCATCATTATCATATACCTTTTTGACAATCACTAGCCAAAACTTAAGTTTGTCTTGTCTGAATGAAGGGCAAAGAGCTCTTTACTCCTAACTAACACATGATTCTGAACTTCCAATCTGCCCTGAGAAACAGGGATGTTATATAGCCATATTTGTGCACTGTGGAGGCTCTGGTTTTGCATACAGACAGGAGATAGCCTTACTGAAAATGTTAAGAGTTGCCTCTGAGTAAATATGGAGTGATAAAATTGTGCATCCTTCTGTTTTCAGCAGGAAACATGAATAGGTTCTTAACTCGCCCACTGAAACCAGTGGGATTTAGAATTCTTAGAATTCTTCATGGCTGTTTCACCAAAGATTTTAGTTGGGAATACAGTATCCTAAGCAGCAGAAACTGATAAGCATGTACAGCCAGGACTTGTTATTCTGAGCAGTAAATTTTTTGAAGTTCCCTGCTTGCCATATTCTTCCCAGACACTTCCTCATAGCCTTCTCATGATGCTAGAATTCATTTTGTTGATGTCTGGGATATGATAGACTTCAGTGAAGCTTAGATTTTGAACACAGAACTATAGGTACTTTTTTCTTGCCTTACAAAGCCATAGCACTAGACTTGCCCAATAGCATTTTCCCATATCTTTCTTTTTGTTATTGAAAGTCTGAAGTAGAAGACTTGAACATGCATATATGTTGTGTACATTTCTAAAAGTTCTTTTAAAAAGTCACACCATCTAGACCTTCTGAATGCACTTTGCAGCAGTATCCATTTTTATTCGACTATCTGATAATATTTAACTAATAATACTCAAACCTAGAAGTAGGTCCTTTTTTATTCCCTAAGAAACATGCTTGCAGTGCCTTAAACCTTCAAGACATTTTATTTGTTTGTTTCTAGAAGTTGATATTTTCCAGAACCTGTGGGAAATAAATTGTTCCTGAAGCTCTTGGAATTATCATGTATTTTGTGATTTTTCCTCCATAACCTTCAGTCTTTGAAGTGATACCTTATGCTCACAGTGTACAGAAAAGGGGCCTTCTGTATCCATCTTGGGAAATGTGCCTGAGATTACTAGGATGATGATAGTCATATGATCCTGACCAAAATGGTAGACTGTCTAGTAAATACTAATGGTCTGGAGCTTGGCCATTTCTTCACTTGTGGTTTACCCTTATTTATCCTTATAGTTACATCTGTGTGGTAACACACTAATCATGGGCAAAAAGGGTCTGCCAGTGCTTTGTTTTGCCCAAGTCCTTTAATGTTATTCAGTCTGTAACAAGAACTTGGAGGAAAAAATGGTGCTGGGTTTCTGATGGAGCGCAAACTTCTATTGCTAGCAATAAGGGACTTGGAGCCTCTCTTGCACCTCCTTTCTTTCTGGATATGCAGTAGGGATTTGGGGGCCAAGCTCCATTTGTTCTGCTTGCAGAAAGGCCTTGGTGAGGCTGCAGAAATCTTGGGGATCCATTGCCAATTAGCATCAATAATACTGGACCAGATAGACGTGCGGCCTGACTGATTATGAGGCAGGCAGCTTCCTGTGTATTCCTTCAACCCTTCTGATCGTTAAGGTGAAAGGCAAATTCTGTTTTCCCCAATTTTTCCCAACTGTCACTTTTGCCACAGTCTCCGTTCTACCTCAAAAGTCTCAGGTTCCGAAAGGCTCCTCTTGCTCAGGCTGAAAAACCACAAATCAGCCATAAAATGGTGGTGGTGCTGTAACAGGATTACTGTCAATTGTTCCACGTACTGTTGAGCCCTTGTGCCATGCTGTATTCTGAGGAGACTCTGGTACGAAAAACCAGGCTTGCTCATTTTCATTTGTGGTAGTGTAAGTGTCACATACAGGGCTGGGATGTTGGTACCAGGGCTGTCTCCTTCAGGCTGAGGAGAATTTCCCTACCCCACTGTGGTCACTATTGCCAGAGTGACGATTACGCATGGACTACAGTCAGGAGAGCAAAGCTGAGAGGGTCATCCTTACCATTTGTCATACTGAAGCCGCCGCCTGAGACAGTTGATTTTGGGTGTCATGAAAATGTAATTGATTAATTTTATTTGCTCAGCGTGGGGAATGTGTGTCAAAATAGCTTGGGCAGGCAGCAGGATGTTTGGGCTGACTATTTAAAACTTGTGTCCTCCAGGTGTGTTGGACTACAACTCCCATACTTCAGCCTGCAATGGAATACTGGCTACGGATGATGGGAATGTTGTCCAACCCATTGTAAAGGTGCCAGGTTTTGAAAGGCTGTGCTAAAGTTTAAAAGGCCAGCTTGCAAATGCCAAGAAAATGTCTGCTAAACTCTCAGAAGCAGACATGAGCCTCGTTTCCTAAGGGCAAGTTTTCAGCAGCCTGTATTCTGCATCTTTTTTCCCCATTTCTGGTTATGCTGCCATAGGGAAGGGGAAAATATATGCTGCTTATTAAGAAAGACCCCAGTGCTTCTAGCCATAGGCCCTGCTGCTGAATCTACATCTGCAGCTCTGGACACTTGTGGGTGTTTTACTTTCAAGGGTGCCGCACCTTTTAGGCGTAGAGACGGAGCTTCATCCTTGTCAACATGTTGACTTGAGAAATGCTTTGGCATATGAAGAACACAAAAAGAAAGAAACCGCTTGTGGGAGCTCTGCACTAATGTTTGGCTTCTCCAGGCTAGCCATGAATGACCAATTCACTCCATTTTTTTAAAGACATGGACATTCTGCTTTACACCTCCCTAAAAATGTGCAAGCACCTTTTAAGTGAGGAGGGAGGAACCTCAGACCTTGGGGCCACATCATGTCCTCCTGAGGTCCTGATCCAGCTCACTATGGTTTCCTAGATGGCTACAGCTTCTCTCTTATGATATTGTGTGGGTGTGATTTTCCAGCTTTGTGCAGTGTCATCATTCTGCAAGGTTGAGCTGCCTCTCCTATGGATAATGATGATAAGATAACCAAAAGATGTGGATATTTTTGATCCTAACCTTTTGCCTCCTGCACTGGAGTGCAGCCTCCCTGAAATTGACTTCAAAGGAGACCCCACACACACACACACACACTTGCTTTCAGACCTCCATCTGAGCCATATTAGCTATTGTCCCTATAGTAGAGCATTTTAAAAACCTCCAGGCAATACTTACAGCTGATGTGAATCTTGTATCTAGGAAAGGTGAGGCTGGAAGTCTTCCAAATGGTGACAGCTCAGCCCTCCAAACCACCTGAATGAATCATGGAATATTGCCGGCGGAGGGAGAAAGAATACCTTCGGAAATGACAATTTTGTTTTTGCATACATACTTGAAGCCATAATGTAGCTATAAATGGTCTCTCTTTGCTTTGTATTATATTTATCTTTCATAGACCACAACACAGTTTTAAGCAACCCCTTGTCCTCAGGGATTCAAAGGGAATGAAGCCAGTGATATGCCCGGTACCCCTGGAACAGAGTTGGGGAACATGTCGCTTTTCAGATATTCAATTGCAACTCTCATGATGCTTCCCTATTGGCTAGAGCCGATACGAGTTATAGTCCAACAACAGCTAATGGGTTATGGGTTCCCCATCTGTGGTCTAGATGCACCCAGAATATCTGCAGATTAGGCAGGATCTTTATCACCTGTTTACCTTATTCTTAGAGGTGAGAGAAAAGGAGTGCAATCTTCAACATCACTTCATTCAGCTTAATAGCTTTTAAGTGTGTGTGGATAGGGCTTTGGAGAACTAGCAACTCTGAACTCGGTTCCTGAATGGTGGTTTTGCTGGGGAGGTCAGAATCACAAATTCTATCTGCTCTGCTTTGGGATTTGGAACCATACCTACCTACAGTGTATAATGTCAGACCTTCATCTAGCTGTGATTTTAATTCTTATTTCAAGTCTCCAGGGAAGCAGTGAGTGTGGGCTGTTTGAATATGGATTGAATATGGATTAAAAAGTAATGAGATGCTGTACGTATCAAAAACAATGTTCAGTTCTATCTCCTTTGGAGAAGAAAAGTGACACCTCCACAAGGGACATGGTGTTGCTCGTGCCCCTGAGGATCCAGAGAATATGCCTCTTTCCTCACACACCTCAAAAGAATTGGTGTGGATGTGAATCAGTATGTGGCATGTTCACGGGGAGCTAACTGTTTACTGGAAAGCTGCTTCTTTTATGTGCTTTTTTTTAATCCTTAAATTGTGAAGTGCCTAGCACACTGTTGGCACTAAAATGTTAAATAGCTAACTGTTAAAATGTTGTGTAACTGTAATATATATTTCAAAATAAAAGTTTTCTGCAAATCCAGGTGGTTTTGATTTTATGGTGTGTAAATGGACATAAATGTCAAATATAAGGCATTGCCTACAGTTTTTCTTTTGTTCTGTGGAAGGATGGAAAAGGACATGGTGTCATCTTGATTATTTAAAAGATCAATCACTCTTTGGAAAAACAGAGTAATTCTTCCAAAGCCCTGTCTTTCTACTAATATATAATAAAGCTGTACAGTTTATAGAAAAGGGACGTGATGGCCCTGCAGATTAAACCACAGAAGCCTCTGTGCTGCGAGGTCAGAAGACCAGCAGTCATAAGATCGAATCCGCATGACAGAGTGAGCTCCTGTTGCTTGTCCCAGCTCCTGCCAACCTAGCAGTTTGAAAGCATGTAAAAATGCGAGTAGATAAATAGGTACCACCACGGTGGGAAGGTAATGGTGTTCCGTGTCTAGTTGCGCTGGCCACGTGACCATGGAAACTGTCTATGGACAAACACTGGCTCTACGGCTTGGAGAAGGGGATGAGCACCGTGCCCTAGAGCCGGACACGACTGGACTAAATGTCAAAGGGAACCTTTACACTTTATAGAAGCTAGCTATAGACCTCTACCTTGTTCAATAACTAGAGTGCTGGGAATGGGCATACATGATTACGTCAGTACTTGACTTTAGCCTTAAATTAAACCCAATTTCGATTACTGTATAGTGCCTCCATAGAACTGTTGAAGTTCACACTTCTGAGGGTTCTAAAATCAACAAGGAACTGTCTGATGTGTGGTGATAATCCTCTTCCACATTGGGATTCCCTAGTAATCAGAACCGTTTTGAGTTGTAGGGGATTTTCAATGAATAACACTGAGAGTTTTGTTGTTACACCCAGTCTAAATGCAGGATAATGATTTTTTCCCCTGACATTGTTCTAGATATAACTTCCAACTTGCAGCCTTTTTGTTTATAGCTGTGGAGCAAATTGGGGAGGCTGTATTTGTACTCAGTAAGACCCACATATTCTCCCACCCTTTTATGCGTAACTAGAAATAGCAGGCCTTCTCTTTTTTAGCATCTGTCGACTGAAACAAGATTTACCAGGGTCATTACTTTGCACTCAGTTTCGTGCAAACTCCAACATACCCAGAGACTATTATGTATCCTGACTAGCTCTGCACCTTGGTACAGTACTGTATTGCCAAGCCCAAATGTCAAAAATGCTCTTTCTCCTATTAGATGAATTCTTTTTTACAGAGTGAGATCTCTCTGCTATAGGACTGATGGGTGATATTATCTGTGGCAATAGATTATTAACAAGTCCCTATCACATACCTAGACTATCAAATACACTTGCTTAGACTCATAAGAACCATAAGACTTACAGTTTGTGTTCTTAAAATACTGCTTCCAGTAACTGAGCCAGGGCATTGTCAGTAGCTTTCAGGCTCACATTATCTGTGAGCACTCACTCCATCAAAGGTAAGCTTAGCTGTCCATCACCTTCCTTGCACATCTTTCTCTTCTCTGTATTTCAATGGAATTATGAGGATACCAAGAAAGAGCTGCCCACCCCACGTACCAACAAGAAGGCACATGGACTCTCAACATAAGCAAAGCAGGACTGCAACCACTAGGTCATGTTCTTTTTCCTTCAATCTGACCCCAGTTGACTAGACCCAGTGAGTTTACTAAATTATGCTCTAATTCCCAGATGAAGGACGCAGGATTTCTGCATCAACTTTCTCCCCCCCCCCGTCCCAATCAGAAGCAAGTTGGTTTCAAAGAAGGGCCAAATGGAGAGAGGTGTGTGCATGCACATGCCCTGTGCCCCTCTGTTGAAGAACTGGGGTGTGCAATCCAATCCACACCTGACTCAACTGACTAAAACAACAACCTTATTGCTTCCTGCCTCTTTTCTGACTACATCTAAGAAAGACTGGCAAAATCCATCTTGCCATGAACATTTGGACTTTTGGTACTTTGTCTTGAAGAGGTGGGATTTACCCATGAAAGCTCACATATTGTACTTTTTTAAAAATTTCACCTATCACGTGCTCCTACAAGGAACAGTTATCAGCTCACAGTTTCTTTGGTGAGAAGATGCAGACCAGAACTGTAAGGCAAGCCCTCTCTCCAGGCCATTCTCTGTGCCCACACACCCTCTCCAGCCTGTATAATGTGGTTGCAAAATTCAAACCACAAGGCAGAATATTTTGTATTTTGCTTCTTATAGCTCCAAAGCTGCCCAAGTCTGTTGGGCCGTGTTTCCAATTCTCCACTTCTGTCAGTGATTCCATTTAATTTTGTCATATTTAATTGATCACAATGATTATCTGAAAAGAAATGTGGCTCCATTATTCCAACATAAAACTGCCACATACAGCATGCATGTATTTGCTGAATCTTCAGGTTACCTGGCTGCAACCCCACATACACACACTTCCCCAACCATCCTACATTATTTCTCCACATTATTCACCCATTGGGATGCAGGCAGCTTCAGCATCATCATCACACTGCACATTATATCCCACTCACAAATGTTTTTATGTTGCTTCCTTCAAGGGTTATTTGCTCAACATCCATTAAGATCCAGTAACAAAATAGAGTTTCCTCACTCAAACAAAAAAAAGCCTAGAAATCATTAATTCAAAATTAATTCATTCCTCCTTATTCTCTAATAAAAATAAGTATGTTTTTTATTTTAATGGTTAAAAATTATGTCAATGCCTTGGGTAACACTTAACATGTCACAAGTATTTTAGCTCATTAGTTTTCTGTGCAATAGGGGGAAATTTATTCATTTTTAGTATTTAATTTTTGTTTACCCGTTAAAATAAACATAATTCTACCGTTTTCACAAAGACGTTAATGCCTTTTCAGTTAACCACTGATACGTCAGCACCAACATTTCCAAGTTCAGTATGAAATACATACCTAAACAAAACAAGGAATGTTTTGCCAAACATCATTAGAAGATGGGGACAGAGTGGTGTAGAACATGGGGACGGGAGGTGTGTCTTAAACCAACTGTTAACCTAAAATATCCAGTTCACACAGCAGAGTGCCCACTTCATCTATAGTTCAGAAAAAAAAATAGAAAAGTCCATATGGTCTTTACACAATACAAATGCAAGAGCAGGTGCTATCTTTATCAGACCACTAAAAAAATCAAACTAGAAAGAGGGATAGCAGCATATGCTTATGAGCATTTCTCTATTTTTCCTGTTCTGCAAGTAAAGATTGTATCTCCCCTCCTATACTGCCCTTCTGATAAAAGAAGACAGTCAAAGGATACAAGAAGCAGGAAGCAATCAAAAAATGTTAAAAGGCCAATTAATCAAACTAGAAAGAGGGATAGCAGCATCTGCTTATGAGCATTTCTCTTTCTATTTTTCCTGTTCTGCAAGTAAAGATTGTATCTCTCCTCCTATACTGCCCTTCTGATAAAAGAAGACAGTCAAAGGATACAAGAAGCAGGAAGCAATCAAAAAATGTTAAAAGGCCAATTACCGGTATCATCAGCAACCATTAAAACAATGTAGGTTATCAGTCTTTATCTAGCTGACACTGTGTGGACAAAATGCTGGGCTAGGTGGGATCTTGGCCTGATCCAGCTTCCTGTTTGTCTCATGTTCTTACACTAACCTGGCTTACTGAGCAGACACAAGAGCACTGTTAGGATACAACTCTAAACACCTCTACTTTTGCATAGGACTTCACTATTTATTGTTGAAGGATTTTTTTTTTTTACTGGAAAAGAGGCCTGCTTGATCAATGATACACTTCATTATTAGTGTTTCTTACACAGTTCTGAGACAACTGAAGACTTGACTGAACATTGTTGTGAGTCTGCTTTGTCTTGTGCAGTTATTTTTGTGCACGTACCGTCCAGAATAGGAAGGAGTTCCGCTGTCTTATCAGACAAATGTACCCCACACTGTTTCTGTAGAGGAGAAAAATTCAAGCATGCTGGGTACTGGTATGCCCAAACTGTAACAGGTGGCACACGCATTCTATATTTATTTCTCCTCCTGATTTATAACCATTCTATAAAATATCCAAGGTAGCTGGTGATCTAGGTAAAATTACACAAACTACAATAAAAATGACAGAGGATATCAAGTAACTGTCTAAAAACTGAAAGTCTCCTAGGTTTCAACCCCATGATGCGAAGTCTGGATGCCTGCTTGTGTGCCAGTCATTCCAACTGGTGCTTTTTGGTCCTCACAGAGTCTGCAGCTGCTTGAAGAGCTCATGGGGGATTCTGGAACACACACCCAAAAATGCATCTCACTGGCGTTCCAGACATTAGCTAGAGAGCACCGCCCTGCTGACTTCATTCCCTCTTCCAATCGGGTGGCAGGGATTTGCTCTTCTGTCCTTTTCAGTCTTTTGTTTTTTATGCTCCACCCTCATTGATGGTTTCCATGAATTTAGCAGGCCTGGTTTTGCTGCTAATCTGTCACTTAAAAGCATTTGGCTAAGTACTGTATATGATACCTACTTTCAATTGAAAAATATCCTCCATAGAAGATTATACTCTGCAGGTTTTGACTAGCTAGCAGGCCTGAGATTGAATTTCCCTGAGAAATGTGTCATAATGAGCATATACTGTAAAACTGACATTATTGTTAACAGTTTTAAGATATGATCGGTCTTAACCCAAAGGTTAAGTGTTTTGTTTTACTTTGTGGTTTACTTTGATGCAAACAACCCACTATGATATTTTCAAATAGCTAGCAAATGTGCCACATTTGTGCTAACAGAGAAACTGCAGAATTGGGTCACTGATTCCACCCAGTGGAGGCTTTAAAGTGCAGGAATCATGAAAGAGCAGCAAACTATTAATTGTGTCAATTGTCGTGGTTGTATTTTTACTACCAGAAATGGGAAGGGTTGCTTCAGCATTTTCAGCCTCACCCCAGTTCTATTGATTATTTCCATACCTCCACTGTACTGATATATTTATTTTTGTGGTAATGTGGTATATATACCGCCAGGACCGTTTCCATTTGTTTTAAGGTTACTG